CATGATTCTGCACCAGGGAATCTTGGCCAGAAAGAGTACTTGGGTTTCATCACTCCCCAAATACTTTGAGTGTGATAATATATATTGCTGGTTTCTCCTCAAATTAAGCCAGGACACACTGTTGCAAACCATGTGCATTGTAGAGAGCAGGCATTTATCCCTTTGTACAAGAGAAGAAGAGATAGAGTGATAAATACCTTATCTGGTCTTTATCACTCTAGAAAACAGCATTCACTAAGAATGATGTGCAAAGGATCTTGAAGGTCATTTGCTTCAGCTTTCTACAATGATCAGGGCAGAAGACCCAGGTGTTGCTACTTATAGAATCCTAAACCAAATTAAAATCCATATAGTTCACATTTACCTCCATTCAACAATGTAGATAAAAGCATTTTCAGAATGATGGGAGATCAAGCATTACTTGTTTTTTCTCCCCAGCAGCACTTCAGAGACAGACATATGGGGAGCCAGAAACTGCCATAGCACTTAGAAGAACTGAACCTGAATGCCTGAAATCTCTCCCAATTTGAAGTCTTTCAACTGCAAACAGTGATTTATGAAACAATGTTCAAAATCCTATTAGATTATTGGTTTCCAGCCTTGGGTCCCCAGATGTTCTTGGACTAAAACACCCAAGAATCTTCACCACTAGCTCTGCTGGCCAGGATTTCAGAGAGTTGTAGTCCACGAACATTTGGGAACTCAAGGTTAGGAACACTGTATTAGATGCATTCATTGGCATGATACAGTTGGCACAAATTTCTTTGGTGAATTGCTGAAAGTTAAGAAATTAGTGTAGGCATTAGCTGTTGTGAGCTAAGCTATGCAATTTGGCAAAGAGATATTTTTCTAGTTGCATTACATTGGTGAGCATAAGTAATAAGATTTTGGCTATGTAGTTTGGCCAAAGGCTGACTAGACAAAGGATGAATCCTCATTGGGAAGCAGTGCACTCTTAAAGGGTAAACATCTGTTTATTCCATCACAGGCTTGCTTAAATCTGCATTTTGTAAATTAGCATGCTTTTATTTGTAATTGGTCAATTGAGAGATAGCAGGAATTTTTATCATGTCTGATGTCTCAGGCAGGTAGTACTGAAAAGATTTCTGTAGCCTACAGAGATAGCATAGTAAGAGTTGGAAATATGCAACTGGATTTTAACTCTGACAAACTGCTAAATACTAGCTGCTAAATTAAAAAAAAATATAGAACACATAACGATAATTGACATCAGAAGCATGGTATGATTTTAAAAACTCCAAGAATTGTGTACAACTCTTTTTTTCACTTGAAATTATATCTTATGTTTGGTTTATAAGTTCACCATAAACTTTCATTATCATATGAAAAATTTAAAAAAGATTCTGTAATATCTTAAAGCTCTATAAACAAGTGCTTTTTAAAAGACAGTGACAAAATGCAGATTTTATGGCTTCCAAATCCAGCTTTTTGTCTTCCCCATACCCATTTTGCTTCACTGATGAACTCCAAATATTCTACACTATTCTGTGGGTTGACCTAGTAATGGTATTATCCTAATAAAGACTTTGGAATTTTTCATATGGTCAACACAACTACCATTGCTCTTTGTGTGAAAAAATAATTCAGAATTAGAGATGGGCACAACCTGAACTACAAACGGAAAGAAACACAAAGCAAATCAGTCATCCAGGTGAATTTATCTGGAAGTTGGGTCATAGCAACTGGCAGACTACAGGAACCACTTGCACTTCAGCCTGAGATGCAGACAACAGAACCTCACCCTGACAACCCTATGCCTACATTCTACTGTAAAGCAAAAAGTAAAGCATGCTGCTTATATACCGCCCCATAGCGCTTCAAGCACTCTCTGGGTGGTTTACAAGTTAATTATGCAGGCTACACATTGCCCCCCCATCAAGCTGGGTACTCATTTTACTGACCTCGGAAGGATAGAAGGTCGAGTCAACCTTGAGCCTGATACCTGGGATTGAACCCCGGGTCGCGAGCACAGTTTTGGCTGCAGTACAGCAGTTTAACCATTGCACCACGAGGCTCTGTAAGAAGCTGACAGGGGAACAAGATCCTTCAGAAGGCACAAACAGCTGCTTAATGAAATGACCAGACAGGTCCACTTCACCATAGACACTTAAAAACACTGAGAAGACTGCCTTCACCAAGAACTACTTTCCACACTACCCAAACCAGTCCTAGATTTTATCAGCAAAGTACACCTGGTCCAGCACTTCAAAGGCAAAGAGAGGCAAACCAGGACATTTGTTACCCTATCTTCTGAAAACAGTCAGCAGGAGAACTCAACAGGAAGGACAACAAGGGTACCACAGGGGAGGACATGAAGGACAAATGAGTGAAAAATCTCTCAGACAGGGGACTCACTTGGTCAGAGAGGGAAGTCTTAGCTAAAAGCCTAAATTTTGTCATCACACCCAAACAAATTCCAGTTGTGGACTTCATCACAGTCACAAAATTGGCTATCTGGAATAACTATTAATGACAGAAGCTGAACAACTCTAGATGAAAGTTTCTGCAACACTTTCCAGTGCTCAACTGCCACCATCCAGCCTCACCAAAGAGGAAAGAAATGCTCTGACATCTCTCAGCAGGAATGACTCCATCACCATACTGCCCATGGACAAAGGAAGATGCACTGCCATCCTCAACACTACAGATTACCATAGAAAAGTAAGCTCACTTTTGGAAGACCAACAAACATATGAAAAACTGAAGAGGGACCCCACCAGCATTTACAGGAGCAAAGCAATAGTGTGCTTGAAATGGCATTGACAGCACGACCTACCACTTGTTGTGTCCTGGAGAGCCGCCCCACCTTTATGGATTTCCCAAGATACACAAGGAATGAGCCTCCCCACCCCAGACCCATCAGCAGCAGCATAAACTTAGTAACACACAACATTGCTAAGTATCTGGTCACCATCTTAGCACCATTATTTGGATACTTGGACTACCACATTCACAGTTCAGAGGAGTTTGCATCTAAGGTTGTGGAACTGAAACTAAATACTGACGAAACCACAGTATCCTTTGATGTCGCATCCCTTTTCACCAGCATGCCCACCCCCGATGCCCTAACAATTGTAAAAAAAGGAGACTGGAAGAAGACAACACCCTCTCCATCAGAAGCAGCCTCAACCCAGACCAGATATGCCTGCTCCTGGACCTGTGTCTGAGCACCACTTACTTCACTTACAGAGGAGGCTTTAACAGACAGAAACATGGCAGTGTCATGGGTTCCCTGGTGTTGCCCATTGTTGCCAACTTATAAATGGAAGAAGTGGAAAAGAAGGCACTGAACACCTTCCAAGGGATGACTCCAACCCATTGGTTCAGGTGTGTGGATGACACCTGGGTGAAGATCAAGATTCAGGCAGTACATGCCTTCATATACCACATAAATGCAGTGGACCCAAGTATCAAGTTCACCAGGGAAGACACAAAAGACAGCCGGCTGGATTTCCTGGACTGTGCAGTCATCATAGGGTCCAATGGCAGCTTAGGAACAGAAATCTACAGAAAACCTACACACACTGATCAGTACGTGCGATTTGACTCTCATCACTCATTGCAACACACACTAGGGGGTCATCAGGATGCTAAACCACAGAGCAAGAAACATCTCCACCTCCACAGAAGTCAAGAAAAAGGAAGATGGACATCTGAGGACAGCCTTTAAGGTCTGTGGATATCCAAAATGGGCCTTTAACAAGGCAATGTCCTGACTCATGAGGACTATGGAACAGTCTGAGAACCAGAGCTGATGGAAGAACCTGGTCATTCCTTACATGGCGGGTGTGTCTGAAAAGCTCAAAAGGACTTTTTGGTAAACATCACATACTGTACCTGTGCACTTCAAACCCACAAACACACCAAGGCAAAGACTCATCCACCCAAAAGATCGGAAACCAAAACACAACAGGAGCAATATAGTATATGCGGCCCAATGCAAAGAGGAGTAATTGGAGTTCTACATTGGAGAAACCAAACAGCCACTAAACAGGAGAATGGCCCAGCACAGGAGGAGCAATGGCTCAGGACCACAATCAGCAGCATTCCTTCATTTGAAGGACAAAGGACACTCATTTGATGACCAAGATGATAGGTGGTTTGAGAGAGGGGACAGAGAGGCCATACATGTGCATACAGAAAATTCCTCACTCAACAGGGGTGGAGGCCATAAATGTCTCCTATTTATCATGCTGCCCTTTCATCCATCCCCAGAAAGATTGGGACCACACACACCAGAAAGACCACGATGATTGTTAACAGACTAGGGGAAAGTGAAACCAATGTGGAGATCAGGGATATCCTACCAACTCTCCTCAGACCGAAGAAGCTACAGTACTTGGATGAGTAGCAAAATGTTTCAACCTAACACGAAAGAAGCCCAGTTGCCATGACCCAACTTCCAGACAAAGTGTCAAATGTTTTTCTGCTCAGCACTTCGTTTTGCTTCGGCAAAATGGATGCCGCTTCTGCCCCCTTCCCCCTCCCTACCTGGTCCTGCCACCTCTTCCTCCTCAGCTCATAGGTGTGCATATGCGCAGAGGCAGCTGGTCTGGCTGCCAGAAGGGAAGCCAGGCCACTGTCTCTAAAGATGGCAGCAGCTGAGGATGAAGAGGAGGAAGCTGTAGAACCAGGTAGGGAGGTAATGGGGGGCAGTGGGAAGTGGGTGGATGGGCAGCAGAGGGTCTGGAGGCACTAGGTTTCCCTCCCCCGGGCACAAACTGGTAAAATACAAACCATGAACCTGTTTCATTTTCCAGGTTTCAGTGTGGTTCATGGTTCATGGGTAGCCACAAACCGCCCTTATTCTTCATTTTTCCTGTTCATGCCCATCTCTATTCAGAAACATTTCTATCAGGAAGGGTCAAACTCTAGTGCAATCTTATACTCCTTGGGAGGCGTTTGTTGGATTAATTCCCACCTTTCTGAGTTAGTACAAAACTACCCAAGACTGTGTATCCAAGTTATAATTTTGTTACCTGGAAGTATGAAGCTCACATGTAATTTCTGTCTGTCTCCTCCTCCTCCTCTTAATAGTTTCTTTTCTCCGAAGTAGCACAGAAGTATTTCAGTGTCCACTCACTTGTACTGTTTCATTAAAGAAAGCCTGAAGCAACAAAGCTGAGATGCTTGCCTAGATTCTTTAATTAAGGCATGCTTCAAATATGTTGCCTGGTCTGCTGTACAGACAGCAAGCATGTTATTTAAAATTTAATTTGATAGACCTGCCAAACTATACAATAACAATTCAGGCACCAGATTGCTTGCTGGGTAAAATATAAGCACTTTTCTGTTTTTCTTGTATCTTCCTTCTTGTAGCTGCTTTTAAAATATAAAGACCTAATATACTATAAGAAAACTTGATTTGACATGGACTACTTGAGCTATAATTCTGGATGCCTTTATGTATACTTGTTAATGAAGAAATGGGAGAGCTCTTGTAAAAATAAATTACACAGTTGTTTGTCCCCTCACTTCCTTCAGAGCAAGCTGTTACTTATAATTGCTTTGATTTAATCAACTTCAGGTGAAGCTTTTTCTTTCTTTCTTTCTTTCAATCAATCAGTCAAGTTTATTTTAAACACATGTTAAATGTGTGTATCACATAGAATCTACACAGGAAATTCCATTGCCAGAAGAAAATGAACACTTGAAGACCAGGATTTGGGATACATGGACTCCCATCATCCTCAGCCATTTATTTATTTATTCAATTCAATTGATGGATATACCTTATAGGAGTTGGGAAGCATCCAGAAGATGACAAATCTTGCATATTTTGTCTGGACAACTGCATAAGTATTGCTGCAAAAGTATATTGAAATGCCTTTGTGCATGTGTTATGGTAAAAGGAAGCTATGAAGTATATTTTACTACTACTATTACTACTGCTATTATGGCTACTGCTGCTGCTGCTACTACTACTACTGTTATTTTTATTATGAAATCTTGGGTCAGTAAGTAGCTATAAGTTATAGACATCACTACGTTGACATACTGTTTGTGTTTTGGAAAACAAAAAACAGGTACAAAGATTTTTCAATGCACTCCTGTATTTCATTAAAAATCAGCTTCTACACAAAGAGCTTTGATCACCTCAAATTGCCATGTTCTGTACTGTTGCTATCAGTATTTTTTTACACCTTTTGTAAGACATTTTCTTAATCTCAGTTTATCAGCGGGGTTTTTTGTCCATGTCATTCCATTTATTTGTAAACCACTTAAAACGAAGGTTTAGTATTAGTACCTGTTTGTACAAGGGGCAGGGTTCAGGCAGCAAGAGATTAACCCCACGGGAAGCTTTCAATTCATACAGCACCACAACTCAACAACCATAACAGCAAACATTCAGCTGAGAACCTCATTTACTAGATGTCTTCCAGACTGGGAAAAAAATTACATTTTAAAAGAGATACTGATTCCTTAAAGAGAAGAGAAGTGGATTTTAAAGGTGAAAGTTGGACACAGATCCCCACAAATTCTGCATTTGTTTGCCACCAACCAGCACAATGGACTACAATTTCCATGTGTAAGAATCCTATATTTAACCAACACATTTGCCGAATGATATTCACAGATAGGATATCAGTGTTTCCTATAGGTATAAAACTGGAGTAAAGCTCTGCTTATTTTTGTGATTACCTATGTAAATATAATAGATGTGAACATCTTGCAGCATTTGTGGGTGACAGGTGTTCCTGATAGTTTCTTATTCCAAGGTATGACAATTTAATTAAAATTGATGTTTGCTTAATAATAACGAGGTTACAGCTACATCATGGAAAATAATATCATGAGAAAATGCTATATTCATTATTTGGAGGTGGGATATAAAATCAAAAGATCATTTGCAGTGGAAATGGGAGCATATCTAGAAATTTCTGGCAAAAGGTCTCCAGGGAGATCTCAGAGATAGTTCTTCAGCCAGGGAGCTCCACTCTAGTGCTGGTTTAGCTATCAGTCTTTCTGGACTCCCTTGTCTGTTTTCTGCACAAGGATTAGGTTGCATTTAGAGCAGGGATCAGGGAACTTTTTTACCTTTTACCCCCTAAAAAATTTATATACGCCCAAACTACCCCCTTGATTTGAAAGGAAGGATCTCGGTCACGTGTGGCCACTTGAGTGCTGCTGCTGCTGCGCTGCCTGCAGCTGGGCCTCCTCCTCTGCCGCAGCCGCCACCGCCTGGCGGGGCTGCAGTCAGTCCTTCGCCCTGCCGGGGTGGCTCACTTTCTCCGCTGGCAGGTGGCTCCTGGGTGGCCATCAAAGGGCAGCAGGTGGCTTGCCCGTCGGGGCCACATCGGGCTCCCGTGAGCCTTGCCGTCAAAGCACTGCGACAGCTGGCACACAGAGGGCAAGAGACTCCACCAGGCTCGGCCGGCATGGAAGTCCCACCAAAGGAAACCACGTGGCTGGGCCACTGCCACCCAACGGGCTCCTCCAGGAATGGGGACAAGGTGTGGGGTGGCATTGGCGTCCCAGCACCAGGAGGCTGAGCCTGACCCGGGCCACCATCATGCCCGCACCTGCCCCCTCCACCGTGATTCACCTATTGAGGCACTGGAAGGAGAGGCTCCCCCTGGCCGGGGCAATCTGGCTATTCGCCCCGGCCTCGCCCTCCACCATGGCTGGCCCTGCTGCTGCCGCCTCAGCTGCTGTATGCCACCGACCAGGGCCCGTCGCCGGCCGTTATACACCGTGGCTCAGTTGCAGCCGGGCTGGGGAAGGGGATGGGAAGGGGGAAATGGGGCAGCCGGGGACCCCCCTCCGGGCAGAGTAGTAGTAGTAGTAGTACTAGTAGTAGTAGTAGTAGTAGTAGTAGTAGTAGTAGTAGTAGTGTACGGGGTTAGGGTCACATCCTCATTACCCCCAGGATTTTCATTTTTATCCCATTTGGGGTAATTAACCCCTGTTCCCTGACCACTGATTTAGAGCCAGTCCACACAGTCACAACCAGTTACAGGAAGTATCTTTTTCCAAGTTCTGAGTTGCAGTCAGTTTTTACATTGTGTCAGGTCTTAGAAATACCTGTAAGAATTGTTGATCAAGTTTGTAAAGAAAGTTTGTAGAAAGAGTTGTTGAAAGACTAGGAACAAGCTAAGAGTTAAACTCCAAGCAGCTGTGGAAACGAAATGCTGGAGAAGAAGGCTATAGAAGCTAATCTCCAATTGGCCGCAAGGGGAAATAAAGCTGACAGCCTCAGCACACTTGGTTTGTGGGTTGAATGGAGAGAGGAAGGAGAAACTCTGTTGGGTTGATTTACTGAGCAGAAATTACTATGGATGCTGATTTATTGAATGGTAAATGGACTGACTTTGATTGCTTTTATGTGTATAACCAAGGACTGATGAAAAGGACTATTCTGTATGTATTAATGCTGCTACAAAATTGATTCAATATATTTACTTTACTACTCTCAGTACTGTCTGTTTTGTTTGCTGACACCCTGAAGTGGATTAATCTCTGCTTGAGTGCCCCCTATTCTGCAAAGCACCCTGTCACAGTGCATGAGGATCTATGGAAAAGTATGCAAGCTAGTGCTGTTGGAACATTTAGAAATGCATAGAACTGACTTTCAAATTTGTTTGTTTTACAGACACTGTGTTTATGAACAAACTTCCTGGAGCTTTGAGTGTCAGTCTGGATTCTGGAAAGACCATGCAGAGTCTACAGATTAGGCAAGAACTAAAAAGTAGGGGAAGAAGGAACACAACTTCTACTGCCAACTGTAAACAACCATGTCTAAAATTATGAGTACATGAAAGTTCGTATTTTGATCTCAGTGTCTATTCCATGTAATCGCCTGTTTGTCATTCTGTTGCAAACTAGTAAAATACAATTAAAAAAAGAGAGACTCCCATTGCATTCTGAAATATGAGGTATACACATACCTAATTTCCCTGAATCCCAGGGCAGCGCTTCACTGTTTAGATTTCTTTTGGAGCTTGAATAAAGGATCTGCACCTTGCAGAGGCCATTTGACTTAAGTTTTCATCACCCCTGACCACTGGCCATGCTGAGTGAAGCTGATGGCTCCTAAACATCTTCTGGAGGCCAAGTTCTTTTATGCTCTTGCTTTCAAGGAAAAACACAGTACTAGGAGATGTAACACATTTCTACCATATTTCTGCTTATTTCCAAAACTTAGGTAGGGGCACATTTTAGCATTTTCAGCTTCAGAAAAGTTTATTGTTCCAACATCAGTTTCCTACGGAGAGATGCCTCTGTGTTCCCCCATGCTTTTAGTTTATAGAGCTCAAAACTCTGTCTTCTTTTCCTGGCTCTCATTCATGTTTCTCTCTGAAAAAAATCTTTGTGTTTTACTAATGCACACATAGTGGGCTCCTCCCCACATTTGGAGGGCAGTGGGGAGGAAAGCATTATTCCCAACAAAAGGTTTATCTGTCCTTTCATTGCATTCCAAAGTGCCTTCTTTATTAAAAAGCCATCTATTGACAATAGCCTACGGTTTAGAAGCATCACCTTGCTATCTCGAAATATTAACTTTCTTTTGTCAAGGTCCTAAGATGGAGCAAAATATCACCATAAACAAACCTACCATCACAGTCCTATTCTTAGCAATCTGTAAGCAAGCCCAAACAATATGAATAACAAAACATGCACTGCTAATTCTTGAGGAAGATCCAACAATAAATAATTATCTGGTAAAGAAATCTGACCCATTAGACACTGTGTGGCCAGACAATGCTACAGAAATACAGAAGAGTACAAGCTCCCAAATGTTTCTTAGCACCTCGTGAAAACTCACTTTGTGTTTGCCAAGAGTCTTTATCCCAACTACTAAGCCTCCACAGAGCAAGGAATATAACCTTATGCAAAAAAGTTTCTGAAATATGACCCAAGAGTACGGGAATTGTCATCATCATCATCTTAGAACTGCAGAGCTGGAAGGGACCCTATGGAACATTAAATCCAGCCCCTGTCAAGGAGGCACTGTGGGGAATCAAATTCTCAACCTCTGGCTCCCCAACCAGATACTTAAACCACTGACCTATCAAGCAGTTCTAAATCTGTGTTTGATGCCTGGCTTTGTAAACACTGGAGAGTGAGAAAGTGGTACAGACATACAGTTTTCTGGGTCTTATCATATGTGAAATAATTGGCAGATACCAGTATCATGCTCAGGATGTGTACTGGGAAGATTGCTGAAACTGGGAGATCTCTCTGCCAGGATTTTCATACCAGAATGTAATCAAGCAACAAACAACTGTAACCAATAATGGAGGGAGAACGATAAAATGGATCCTTCTTTGTCTGTTTTCTTGAGGCACATGGTTGTTTCTGAGAGTGTAAGCTCTGTGTGCCTCCTATTCTACAAATTAAATCTTTCAAAAACCTTGTTAGGTGTCGGTTTGTATTATTTCCATCTTAGTTGAGAAATTGGTTAACCCAGGTAGGAAATCTGACCCCAAATTTGTTAACACTGGAGGCATCCTAGGACTATGTAGTTTGCCCAACACCACATA